GTTTGCACTTGTCTATATGTACTTCAGTTTTGCTTACACCTAGAAGAAGAACAAGTGAGGTCCAACACTCTTACAGCAAAACTCTGTAACTCAGGGGTGGAATCACCAAATTGGATCCACCATTCAACTGTTTTCAAGAAAAAATATAATCAAAATTGAAAAAAGTGTCTTGCATTTTCTAAAATAACTATACCTGGAGACCGTTTGGAAATGGTTATTTTTGCTACATTCAAACCAAAAAAACCCTCTTTATTCCGGAATAGAACAAGTTGTAAATCTGCAAGCTCCCTATCTGCCTGCTCCGGTATTAGTCTTTCCATACAATGATATAGACCAAGCTTCACCTCCGGATTTGAAGATTTCTTCTCTGAATATTGAAATTGATGATTGAGATAATATGCCGCTGCATGTAGATGACAGTGTAACTGCAACTCCCACCGAGCATCAATGATATCCCAAATCTCCCTATAACTTGCCTCCTCTCCTCCCAAGTTGTGTGCAATCAACTCCTTGGCCTCATCCATAGCCTTATAAATAAATTCATAGCTGGTTTCTTCTCTGCATCCACTAAGCGTAGTACTTGCACTAAGGGTCTTGTGCTCAAAATGGCCTTCATGCGGGTTACTCCGCCCTTCACCACTTTCTCACAAGAATTGCATTTTAAATAGACATACGTTTTCTCGCCCCCTCCTACGTCAACTTGCACGCTATATTTCCAAGAAGGGTCACGCCGCAATGACGTATTCGCCTTTTCTTTACCTCTAACCATGTCTCATAAAGAAAAAATTCAAAAACACAAAAAAACAATAAAAAAAACATAAACCATAGATTTTCTTAAACTTGAAAAATCTAACCCTAAACTTAAAAAACACCTAAAATCCAATGTGGAGTACTCCTAGAGGGCGGCCGGAAGTTTCAACTTCGCCGGAGAGAGGCGGCGTCGGCGGGAAGGAAGTCGACGGCGTGCGGGCGCCCTCTGTTTCGCGAACTGCAGCGTGCGGGATGGGGAAATTTCGGGTTTGTTGTTGCCGTTCGGGTATAAGGAGAAAAAAAGCTTCAATTTAAGTGAGTGGGCCCAATCCCAGTAAGGCGTACGCCTTACTAAGAATTGCGCAATTGCGCCTCTGAGGCGCACCTCAGTCCCAGTGAGGTGTATGTCTCTTACAGAGGTGGAATTGCGTAGGCTTCAAGGCGTTTTTGGAGGAATTGCGCAGAGGCGCGCCTCAAGATGCGCCTCTAATTGCGCAATTTTAAATAGAGGTTGATGATATTCTTCTTGTTGATAAGACTAGAGAGGGAGTTGAAGGTAAACTTGAATTATGGAAGTCAACCTTAGAGTTTAAAGGCCTTCGTTTGAGTAGATCTAAAACTGAATATATTGAATATAATTTTAGTAATAGATCTAGTGGGTGGATTATGACTTTGGGCTATCAAATCATTAATAAGAGTACCTGCTTTAGATATATTGGGTCTATTGTTTAGAGTGATGGTAAAATAGATGGGGATAGTAGTAGTACAATCCAAGTTGGATGGTTGAAGTGGAGGAATGCATCGGGCTTGTTGTGTGATAGAAAAGTTCCTCTTAAACTTAAGGGAAAATTCTATAAGATGGTAGTGATATCTGCAATGCTTTATGGTGCAAAATGTTGGCCTTTAAAAGAGAAGCATAATATTAAGTTAAGTGTTGCATAGAATGAGGATGCTCAGGTGGATGAGTGACTTTACTCTTAGAGATGGGATACGAAATGAGTATTTACGTGAAAAGGTTGGAGTTGCTCCAGTGGAAGATAAGATTAGAGAGAGTCCCCTTAGATGGTTTGGTCTCATAAAACGGTGCTCTTCCGATAAACCGGTCAGAAAAGTAGATGCATTATATTTGACTTATGCTAAGAAAGATAGAGGTAGACCTAAAAAAACTTGGTTAAAAAATATTAGAAATATCATTTCTTTATTAGATTTTGCATTAGCACGACAACAAACACTTTGTGCAGTGGTGCTGAAATGTATGCTCCGCCACTCTAGCAACATGTCCCCAAGTCCGGTACTTCGTAGTGAAGCGAAGCTGTGGGCCTATGCAAGAAACTTACCTTATTCCAAGATTTAGTGTTTTTTAATGTGTTTAGCACTATTGCTTCATATATATATATATATATATATATTAAGTATGTTTTCTCAACATTTCATTTCAGGTATGCAGCTCATGCAGCCTCAGGAATTCATGTAGCAGAGGATATATACTTGTGCCTAAAGAGGATGAAGCACGAACACTTGATGTCATGCGTATCCTTTTGACATATGGTTTTGATCATGTCAAAGAATCTGTTGAAAATGATCCTTTAAGGAAGATGAAGTCTGTCAAAATTGTAGTCCGCAAGTTGCTGCATGAAGTTGTTAAACTGAGTGCGGTTCCAAGAGATCCAAATCTTTTACCTCCAGTGATCAAGAAACCGCCTCCTAAATTAAAGCAACCACCACCTCCACCCAAGAGGCGGGTAGGACGAGATGATGTTGAAATGAAGAAGGGAGATTGGCTCTGCTCAAAGTATGTTCATCTACCTTTTCTTTTATTATTTTAGTATAAGATATTTTCCTACCTATAACTTGTGGCATTTTTCTCAGGTGTGACTTCATGAATTTCGCCAAGAACACTGTTTGCTTGCAATGTGATGCTAAACGCCCCAAGCGACAACTTCTTCCTGGGGAATGGGAATGCCCCAAGTGTGTTTTAATGAATTGCTTGCCTTAACTTTTATCTTATTTAGAAGGATTCATTAAAATCTGAAGCGCCTCACAAATTTTCATCTTGCTGCTTTCCAGGTGTAACTTCCTGAATTATAGGCGGAACATGTCATGCTTCCAATGTGAGCATAATCGTCCCCCTGATGAGTTCACAGAGAATCAAATGTTGGGAAAGCGTATGGGTCCAAACACAAGATTGGAAAGGGCTGTCAGGACTTCAGATGTTTCAAATGCTTGGAATTTTGATTTTGAGGACAATGAATCAGATGGTGCAGATGTTGCAGCTTTTGAGTTTGCTGATTCTGCAAGAGCTCATGATGGTTCTTCATTCAATGAACATCCTCGTGGAGGAAACACTAGGCAATTTGAAGATGATATTGCAGAACACATAGATAAAGGCCTATACTTTTCTAAACCTAGCAAAAGAGGTTCTTCATCACATTCACGTGTAACAGGTTTTAATGATTTTGATGATGAAGAAGAGGAGGATAATGTGGACAATTATGAGCTTGATGCGGCAGATGGTGAGGAGACACATGTAATATCACGGAAGAGCTTATCTGAGTTTGAGAGTTGCTCAGAATCAGACGATTTGGATGATAATGACCGGTATTCCAACTCAAATCAGCATAGGAAAGATTATATATCAGATTTTGAGGATGATAATACTGTAGTTTCTGCACGGAACTTTGATGCTAGCTCAAATTCTTTATTTTCTGATGATGATATGGATTCTGATCATGATATGCATGGAAATTATGATTTGAAGCAGAGAAGGGAAGTAAAAAAAAATGCAAACCAGAATAATTTTGCTAGAGTAAGGGATTCAGACTATAATGATGGGCTTCATGTTTCTGATTTTGATGATGACGATGATGATCCATATTCCAGCAGGAGTAAGAAAAAAGGAATAAAAGGTGCATCAGGAAGGAGAGCACGCAATGTCCAGGATTCATACCATTTTGACTCTAAAAATGGAACAAATTCTTTGTGTAATGATGATGATGATGAAGATAATGATTTATATTCCCACCGGAGTAGGAACAAAGGAAGCAGAGGTGCATCAAAATCTTCAGGCCACAGGTTCCAAGTTTCCAATCGTGTTGACTCCAAAAATATTGGAAGAAACTCATTTGGCTCCCATGATTACAATAAGTTTGATGACAGAGGAGGTTCTGATCTCAGGAGAAGAGTTAGAATTAATCAATCAAGTTATGGAGCAAGAGGATCTAAGAAAAGCTGGACGGGCTCTAAAGGAAATGACTATGGTAGTCACAACAATGATCAGGGTTACAGGAATTCTGTTCGCAGGGCTGATCATTCAAAGCTTGACCATCGACAATATGGAAAGAATACCCCTAATCATGGTCGAATTAGGGGCTTCAATGATGATTATGATTTCAATGATAATCGTCAAAGAAAACGCATCATTGAAAGATAATTTGAGTATCATTTTACGAAGATAATATTCCTTGCTGAAAGTGTTTTGAGTCCTTTCAAGTTCTTGCGAAGCTGAGAAAATACCTTGCATGAGCTATCAATGTGAGCTAAACCAGTTGTCACCATGGAATCCTAGTTGTGGTCCTGATCAGTAGTTGGAAATTTCAAATGTTATCGGCCATTTCTTATGCCAATAACCCTAAAGAGCAAAATGCACGCACCATTGTCTGTTCTTGACGAGTCTTTCTTAATAGGATAATATTGATGACCATGGATATCCGTTTCTAGCTGGTATTCTGCTGCATATTTCAAGAGTTGTATATGAATTTCAAAAATGAAAAGCAATCTACTGTCAAGGTATTTTCTAATTTTCTCTTCCTTATGTTGATTTAATTAGATAATAACTTACGTTTTCTTAGATCTTTTATCTTGTGCAAATTATCTTTCAATGTTGTGTAATTCTCTTGCTTGAGTCACATGTGCTATGTTCATCAATACAGCTAATATCATCATTGTTATTGGCTTATCTAACCCTATAAAACGCAGACACCGATAGAAGGAACGGGTAGAACACAACTCATATATGACGACACATAAAAAGTATAACACTATATATAGTTACAATACCAACAACAACAACATCAAACTTTATCCCACTACATGGGGTCGGCTATAGGAATCTTTTTTCTCCATTGTATCCTGCTAAGAGTCAAATTCTCATTTAAATCTAATTAAAAAAAGGTCATTTCTAATATTTTTTAACCAAGCATTTTATGTCTACCTCTACCTTTCTTAACATAAGCCAAACCTAACACTTCTACTCTCCTAACTGGATCATTGGAAGACCATTGTTTTTTTTTTATCAAACCATCTAAGACGACTCTCTCTAATCTTATCTTCAATTGGATCTACTCCAAACTTTTCATATATATGCTTATTTTATATCATGTTTCTAAGAGTAAAGCCTCTCATCCGCTTGAGCATCCTCATCTTTGCAACACTTAACTTAATATTATGCTTCCCTTTTAATGGCCAAAATTCTGCACAATAAAGTATTGCAGGTCTTACCATCATTTTATAGAATTTTTCCTTAAGTTTGAGGAGAACTTTCTATTACACAATAAGCTCGATGCATTCCTCCACCTCAACCATCCAACTTGAATTATGCTAATAATATTTCCATTCATTTCACCATCACTCTCAGTAATAGACCCAAGATATCTAAAACTAGTACTCTTATTAATGACTTGATCGTGTAAATTCACAATCCCCCACCATATCTATTACTACTAAAATTACACTCCATATATTCTATTTTAGATCTACTATGAATGGCACGAGGATTGGTTGCATGGAGCATTTTGTTATTTTTTGTTCTGCTCCATATTTTTGGGTGTTTTCTCTTAAGCACCGTAGAATGTATTTAGGGACTCTTGTATTGTTCTATAGTGGGGAACTCGAGCTCTTAAGTTTTATTTTTCTTTATTTTTGTAGCTCTTCGAGCAATAGCGAGCTTGAGATACCCTTAAGGATTGCGTATAATTTTTTCTTGATTAACGCGTAGACCCCTTTGTGGGTTTCCCCTAAAAAAAATAAAAATATATATATAATTACAACACAATGTAGACATCGATGCAAGGAACAGGTAGAACACAACTCATATATGACAACACATAAAAAGTTTGACAATATATATCATTAAAATATTTTTTGTTATAAATTATTTATATAAAATATGTAATTACTATTACAAAATATCATAGAATAATGTTTAATATCATATGTTTCATACAAAAGACTTAATTATAAACAAATGAAAGAAAATATTGCTAATTGCAATTTAATTTCATAATATAATGAAGTGCATTAATTTCCATTCTCTATCATAAATGATAAAAAGAAATTAAGATTATGATAAGGCTGTGGAGCCTACCCTCATGGGTGGCAACTCGGCAGAATTCTAGGAGCCAAAAGGCTCGTGTTTTGTGGGTTCCAGCACCTCATTTCAGACCTATAGGAGAAAAAGTTTAAGGTGTAATCATTGGAGGAAATGTGAGGTGCATCGATGTTGGGATTACATTTGGTTTTAAGGGAGAAAGTTTGTATGTGGGTGAATTATGTGAAGAATTTTCTAGAGTAATTTTCTTGGGTAATTTTGGATTCCTAGTTGCTTCTAGGCATTAGGGGAGAGCCAATTTACCTCTCGAATAGTGAATCAATTGTATATTGTCTTTCTTTTGATTGAAGATTGTTATTTCAACTTTATTAGTGGTTTTTGTATATCGTTCATGTATTTACTTGGTTGGTGATTTTTTTTCACGTTGTTTGGCGATGATTTTTTTCTATTTGCTTTTTTGGGTGTTGATTTGATCCCCAAATCATATCAAATTGGGATTAGAGCAAGTTTTTAGGGCCGATGGCCTGAGAAGAGTTGAGGCATTGGAAGAAAAGTTGGAGGGGGTAGCAGGGCAATTGCGATTGGACGTGGGATCATTGAATGAGCATTTTTCGGTGATGCAAGGAAGGTTTGAGAATCCAGAGGAGATGATGAAATAGATGTTGGAGTTTCATACTAAAGAGGCTTCGTTGAAAGCAAGGGGGAATCAAGAAAATGACATGCCGAAAGAAGATGGAGATGAAAATTTTAGGAGAGGTTGAAGTACCTCACCTTGAGCCTCTAACAAGATGGGGGTTGATTAGGAATATAGATGTAAGAGGGAATGCGAAGAAGAGTATAAACAGACTGAATTTGAAGGAAGATGGGTGTTACAAAAGAAGAAGGGAGGGCAGGGAACTATGGATAGGCCTCAATGCTTGTTTCATGGGAGGCATGGGGTACGGAAGAGGAAATTGGTGTGGGGGAGATACGAAGGTCAGAAAGCCGAAAATGTCGGTATATGAAGGTGCGGATGTGCATTGTTGGATCTATAGAGTGGAGAGATATTTTATGGTGAACTGGTTGACAGAAGGGGAGAGGGTTATTGCGGCGGCTCTATATCTCGAGGGGAAGGTACTGCCATGGTACTAATGGAGAGAGACGAGATACTTGATCTGTTCATAGGAGGAGTTCAAGGATTATTTATTGGAGCGCTTTCAGATTAAGCAGGTAGTGGACTATTATAAGCAATTCTTTGCTTTGACACATTTGGGAATAGTGGAGTACTAGGAAAGATGTGAGCTTTTATTAGGACGTGGGTTTCAAACCAGAGCTAGAGCTGCTGTGCGGGTGGCAAGGTGTCGTGACTTGGGAGAGACAATAGAGTAAGCCCAGGTGATAAAGGACAATAACTCACTTGAGAGGAGTTAAAAAGGGGTCAATTTTGGAGATTCTTACCATACGATGAACCTTCCTTGCACCTATGGCGCTAACTGTATTGGGTCAATGGGAAAATCCAAAGGAGAAAGGTTTGGGAGCTCGACCAGGAGGGAATTTTAAATAGCTGATTGATACAGAGCTGCAGGATAAACAGAGTAAAGGGGCTATGTTTTATGTGCGATGAGAAGTTTACATCAGGCCATAGGTTTAAAAATCGTACATTTCAGGTCGTTTTTATTTGTAACGAGGAGGAGATGGGTGGAGTAGAGGCAAAAGGAGATCTATAAAACTGTATGCGAAACTGAGTACCTATAGTGCTTTGGTTCTTTATAATGAAATGAGAGAGGCTTTGATTAAAGCTCTACTTGATCTTGAGATCTATATGACTCAGTTAGCATCAATGCATTCTAAAGATTTTTTTTTGAAGTAAATGACTGCAATATAAAGTGAAAAAATGTAGTGGTCGGTGGCGGACATAAGCAGCAGTGGTGACTGGCAGTGGACGACCAACCATGGTAGTTAGCGGTAGATTGCGGGCAGTGGATGGTCGATTGCTGTGGAGCCCGATGGTGGGTGGCTAGATGTGGTGGGTGGTCGGCAGTGGTGGGTGGCCGGCAGTGATGTAAGTGGTGGTCAACGGTGGCTGACGGTGATCGGCAGTCGGAGCTGTTAGACACGTCTGACGTACCTTGTCTGTTATCAAGATTACACGTGTCTCATTGTTATTAGTCATAGCTTTACATGTTATTTATTTATATGTATCTTATGTAAACTGTTGGATATAGAAATTCCTTCTGTTTTCTTCCATTCTCTTTCTCGGTTCTTGCATTTTCTCCGTGACAGAGAAGTTCTCATGGTATCAGAGAAGGCTAAATCCTGAATCTCCTTCTCTTCCCTTCTTACTCTGTTGGCTCTGCTCCTCCTCTTTTTCCCTTCCCCTTCTCGTCGGTTTCCTTCTCGTCAGTTTCCTTCTCGTCGGTTTCTCCCATGGCCTTATCCACAGCTTCGTCCGACACTACCTCACATATCAGACAAGCCTCCGGTAATCTTCTTGACTCTCAACCCATCCCTCCACAGCTAAAATTCCTTTTGAGTAACATCAAAGGAATCATCTCTATCACCCTCACTGCTGATAACTACCCGATCTGGAGTTCACAAGTTTTTTAAATTTTTAAAGCCAACGGATTAAAAGGCTTTCTTGATGGCAGCTATCCTTGCCCGTCACCTGAAACCCCATCCTCTCCTAACTCCATTTCTTATCAAACTTGGATGCTTCTTGATCAAAACCTAGCTGTCGTACTCTATTCCGTGATCTCGCCTAGCATCCTTCCTTACGTTCTTTCCTTAGAACACTACTCGGACATTTGGAATACCATATTTCGCCATCTTCAATCTTCCACCCGTTCCCGCACCAGTCAGCTCCGAAACGAACTACACCACCTCTCGATGAAGAATCATAACATGTCTCAATACCTTCTTGCAATCAAATCCAAAGTTGAGGCTATAGCCGCCACCGACAGTCCACTCAATCCTGAAGACGTCATCCTCTATACCCTTAACGGCCTTCCACCTCAATACCAAGCTTTCAAAATTGCCATATGCACGAATCTCCAACCAATCAGCTTGGACGATCTATGCACCCTCTTATGCAGTGAAGAGCAACATCTTGCTTAAGAAACCACGAAAGAACTGCAAAATCTATAGATTTCCGAAGCTACAATGGCTTTAGCCGCTCTTCACAGTCGCGGGTGCGATCGAAACAACGACAATCGTGGTCGCTCATCACTTCCCAATCGTTCCACTCGGACTTGCTCAGACAAATCTGCCTCCTCCACCACATGCCAAATCTTCTTCAAAACATGTCACTCAGCTTTGAAATGTTAGCATCGTCACGATCCCAATTCCACAGACGAACCACACAACATGGCCCTCTTCACCCCATCCGAGTCCATCGCCTCCTCGAACTGGTTTCTTGATAGTGGTGCCACAAGCCACATTACATCTGATTCATCCCAACTCCAATCTATTAAACCTTACACGGGATCTCAGCAAATAACTCTAGGTAATGGTCATCAACTCCCAATACAAAACTCGGGAAAAGGCATTCTTCCTACCCCATCAG